CTCCCACCATTCCTTGCTTCCTTCAATCCTCATCAAAGTGTCGTTCTTAGCAGTGTTGGAGTCAAATGGGAGCTTCTTCAGCTTTGGACATTCTTTTAAGCGAATTTCCTTTAGGCACGGAAGAGGCAAGGCACCGGGGTAGATGTCTTCTAATGCCGGTAGATGGTAAAGCCATATAGACTTAAGATTTGAGAATGGTATCAACATTTCTTCTACATTTATTATCCTTTTTAGTCTTGGCAGATTCAGTAGCCGAAGCTCTTCCAGCTTGTGAGTATGACGAAGCCAGGTTAGTTCCTCCAACACCATACAATTATTAATATAAATATATTGTATGTTCTGTAAGCACATGTGCGGCAACTCTATTATCTCTAACTTGGGAAGATGAACGATATGGAGTAATAATCTCTCTGGCCTCAAGGCTGACCACTTCTTTGTCTCCATTCTCCAACTAATATCTCTCAACTTTTCGCATTTGTAAAACTCGAGTTTTTCTAGAAACATATCTTCAAGAGTAGTAGTAGTTATGCGGAAAGAGTTGGCCTTGTAATTCTCAAGACATAGACCTGTTGTGTACTTCTGCAACTTGTAGGAATTTGACCAACTTTGGAGACATGTGTCACTGCTAATTGTGACTCCGAAATCAGTCAAGTGTTTTAAGGCTTCAAATACTTCCATCAATCTTGACCTACCTTCCATTTCCCAATCCCGAAATTTAGAATGAAATAGGTTCAAATACTGTAGATCCAACAGCTTTAGGATCCCCTCAACTGAAACCACATGAAGATCTCTTGTTCGATACAAATTCAAGTACCTCAATTTCCTCAAGTTTCCCAACTCGTATGGCAATTCCTTTATATTCGTAAATGAGAGATTGAGGTATTCCAATTCAGCCAATTCAACAATCTCAGTTGGGAACTCTACTTTTCCAAATGAAACACCAGATAAATCCAAAACTCTAAGAGACTTGGTAGATCGGAACAAGCTAGTAGGGAATTCCTCCCTTGGACCAAATGCTACTAAGAAGGTTGCAATTGGAATAAGGTTGGGATAGTCTTCATCAGGAGGGACGACCACCTCATCTTGAATTTGCTGCTGCTCTGCATCACGCTCACTATTATTATAAGGAGGACGTGGAGGTAGCATAAATATCCTGTTGGCGCCCTGCCTTTTGAAGATAAGCTTATCCATCAACTCTTCATACCTTACCACCAAATGCTGCTTCTTATCATTCCTTCCATAGTCATTCACAATCCATAATGCCATGTCCCGGATCACATCATGCATCTTTACATATTTCCTGATATCTATATAATTATCATTCCCACCTGGCTCTAACAAGCAGGCTCGTTTTAGAGTTTCAATGATATCATATCCTTCATTCATTGCTTCCCTCATTTCCTCATTTCCTTTTATGAATCCTTCCCCAATCCAATATTTTATGAGACCTTCGATTTCAATATCATAATCTTCGGGAAAGAGGGAACAATATAAGAAACAAGATTTAACTTTATCATCTGCCAAGGCATCATAGCTATACTTCAACCTAGAAAACACTTTCTCTTCCATACCTGAAAACTTTGCTGGAGATTTCTGCAACACTGTGATAGCGTGTTCCCA